CCCACGCCCCCTGCATTGCAAGGTGCCTGTTTAACCACTGGACCAGGAGGGAAGTACCTCTAGCTAAGGTTTAGATGCTCATCTATGATAACAAAACCAAAAAAATCATCAAGTATCTCTTAAAATTGCAGTGTTCAAAAATGGTTTTTATGACAAAGATTTCAAATCTAGAAATTCCTAATTATAATAATAGGAAGTCTTGATAAGAAAATGACTGTATTCATAATGAAGACCATCACACTTTTTCTCCACACAAGCAATCGTCTTATCAGTTTAACTGAAGAGCTTTTTCTAGCTCGTTTCACACTTATCATTCGACTAGCAGCAACTCGGACTGGGAAACCTAGAAGACCACCCACCTTTGTGAACCGCGATGTCCTCCGACTGGCCCCAGGTTGGTGAAGCGGCCAAGAGCAGGCCTCAGCTGTCGAACCAAAGGGGCCTGTCCACCCTTCTCAGTTTGGTGCATTTTCTCTAACTCCAGCCTGCTAACTGCATTTGACCTCCAGATGACCATGAGTTTTTCAATTCAAATGTACGGCTTTGCTATAAATAAGAGCACAGAGCTGTGCAGGCTATAAATAACTAGAAATTATATGCTTTCTCCCAGCTCTTTGCACGAGCACTGCAAAACCCTTCACTTTCAATGACCGAACAGCCTCTGTAGGTAGACAAGAAAATATAGCTGCCCAAATCACCTCACCCTCCTAGAAAGGAAAGGTGTTAGGATCCCAAACACAGTACAAGTAGATGGAAAAAATGACTGGGAAAGAGAAAAGGAAAACAGATTGCCAATGTCTGCTGAGAAGAATTGAGAAAACAAGTACTCCATGAAAAGAAATTTATTAAACGATGATGCTCATTCCCAGTAATGGATAAAAATAGAAAAAGATAATTTTTTATATGCTTAAAGTGATAAAAAGTGAAACTTACAGTAAAAATAATGACTGTTTTTGTAAAAGGGTGGGAAAGATTAAATTTATTGATGTAGGCTGTATTCATGGCATTTAGGAAAAAACGATTTTAATATTTGTCAGCCATTTCCCACAGTTTTCTGTACTCTTAAAATGTGGTTCTGAACTTCAAATGTAATTTGCTAACCTAGCAAAGTATCAGAAACTGCTGGCCATTTGGAGCACAGGTCACAGCCACAGTACCATTTAGGTTTAAACTTGGTCCTGCCCCCTGTGACACTATGATGGCTGAGACAAGTCACCAAGTTCCTAAAGCTTCATATTTTTTCTGGTATGCACAAAGGAAATGAGGAAAATGGACACAAAATTCCCAAGAAAAGAGATGATCTAAGAAAAATGCCTTATAAAATGCAACACTCCTTGCAGCTCAATGTACTCTCAATCTCACAATATAAAATCTATAGTTAAAGAAAAAAATCTATAGTTTTTCCTCATCCTTCTATGTCTAGCCACTTGCCATACTTTCAACTAAAATTTATCTTTTTAAAGACAAGTTCATTAGCTTCATCAATTGTGAGACTAGGTTTTTTTTCAGGATGACAAAGACAAATGCTAATTTTCACTGTATCCAAGCTACAACCCCAACTGTGTCTTTTCCTCCACCAATCACAAGCATCAGTGGTTTCTATCATCCCTAACCTAATGTTGGATGAATCTGTTTTGGGATATAATCCAAATTTTAAATGAGTGATTATGTATTTGACACCACATGTTTTAAACAAAGCTAAACAGATAGGCCAATTGAAATCATCACAATGCACTGATATTATAAGGCAGGTTGACACAGCATTTCTTTATAAAGTGCTTTCTCTGCATCTTAATGATGAAATCAGAAGTTGGGCATGTCTTTCCCACTAGTGGTGTATTCAGGGAGGGGAAGGAGAAGTCTTGAATTCTAGAAGTAACTGTTCATTTCCTAAAGCCTAACAGCTGTCTGTAAACACACATACTTGAACCCTCTGCATACGTATTAGTCCACATAGTTAGTACAACACATGCACATTAAATGCTTAAATGAGTCACTTATACACACAGGCTCTTGCTAAATCATAGCATCTTGTGAGCTTTAGGAAGTAAAATAGTGATGCCAAATAAAACACAAAACAAGGGTGTACAAACAGTATTTTATAAAACCATATGAAATAAAGAAGAAACTGATTAGAAATAGCAAAAGCCAGGTCAAAGCTCTTAGCCTGACACTGCAAGTTACCTGGCAAAATCAGATGGAATTATAAGCAAGGCAATGGAAATAAACATTTTTGTTAAAAGACAGGTGTTCAAGAAACACAAAACCATGCAAAGGTGAGGATGCTGGAGCTACAATCCAGCCATGCAATATACTTCTCCCTCCTCCCTTCCGTCGAGTGAATGACAACATACGTTTAACAGGATCTTGGGGAAGAGGTTCCTGGGTGGTCTTGAGTAAACTGTGGGACACTATGGAGAAAATAAGAGAATATAACTAAAAACAAAAATAGAAACATGGGAATGACGGATGAAATCCAATGACATGATTCTACTGACCAAAGGAAAAAGCAGAAACAAAACCATTGACTTAAAAACAAAAATGAAACAAATATCCTGAGTTTAGGCCATAGCACTAAATAACATGGAACCAAATAAATATACAAACATAAGATACATGTCCACAAGAACATCATGGGCTGTGGATATTCTGTCTCTGACAGAACATCCCAGTACCCCGTGGAAGCATTTCTTGCTCCCATTTACCTGCTTAGTGTTAGCATCAGCAGTTCCCACCCTTTCTTCATGGTATCTCCATTCATTTTACCATGCTAAGGGCAGCCCTGGCCCTCAGTTCTGGCTAATTTGTTGAGGCCTTTACTGTCCACTTACAGTCTTTTTGTCCACTCTTCTGACTGACTTTCAGCCACTCTTGTTTGCTTTCTTGACATTATTACTCTATAACCCGTCTCCTTTGAAACTAAGTACTGACCGCTTGTCCATTATACCTTCGTTGGGAGCATTTATCTTTTGCAAATTTCTTGGCAAAGAACGTGCCATCCCGAGATTCCATCTGATCTGTGATGCCCATGGCTCTGGCTCCCATGCTGAGTTAACTAAAAATAATCAAATGGAGATGGTGTGCTTTGAAGGTAATAGTAGGGGTTTTTTGGGGGGTAGGGGGGAGCACATAATTTCTAATTTTTTTGGCGACACCTGCAGTATGTGGGATCTTAGTTACCTAACCAGGGATCAAACATGTGCCCCCTTCAATGGAAGCTCAGAGTCTTAACAATTGGACTGCCAGGGAATTCCTGATACCTTTTAATTCTTGAAGCAAATTCTCAACTATTAATAATTTTTAAAACCCTCTTTCTTATTATATGTATATGTATATATTTATATTCCAAAACGTAAATACACCCTAGGGAAAGGGGGAAAAAAGTTGGACATCTGCCAGGAAGTCTCCCCCCAGCAGGGAAACCAGTTAGAATCACTGTAACAACAGTCCTCTGTTCAAGAGGCTCCAGGCAACAGAATCCATTACCGTCCTCCAGGTTACCTGACCTAATTAACTTTTTTGTTTGAAACTGAAGAAAGGAGTCTTCTGAGCTGGAAGCCACAGTCTTCCCTTCAGAGCCAGAAAAGAGGCCCTCAGAGCAGGTCCTACACCTATTCTCACAGCGAGTAGAAGGGGCGGCATCTCTCACACAAGAGACCAACAGGAACTTCTCCAGTAGATTCCACTTACACTGGACTTCACAAGAGAAGGTCTTGATGGTGCAGGCACTTTGATGTTGAGTGTAATTCTATGATCACACTGGGAAACAATTTATATCATCCCTGGGAATCGTATGCAGGAAATGGTCTCTCTCGCCCTCTCCAGAACCATGCAAAAAAGGCGGGAGTCTCTCAAAAGAGAAATGCACACTTACTGAGTTTCACTTTTACTTTATCAAGTTGAGTAATATTCCTTGAGTAGATCACACTGTTTTCTCATGGAATAGAAAGATAGATACATACATAGGTAGCTACATAGGTGGATAGAGAGATAAGATACACAGGTAGATAGGTAGATAAGATAGATATGTATAGATAGATACATAGGTAGATAGATAATCAGACAGATAAGATAGGTATATAGATACATAAGTAGTCAGATAGATGGATAGATAGGTAGGTAGGTAGATAGGGAATTTAATGTGGAAGGCTGTTAAGAACAGAGGTCCCGCATGTTTGGTCTGTTACCTCCAGAAAACTACCTCTGTGGAAATAGTATCAACTTGCATATAAGTCATCATGACTTCATTTATTTATCCCCCTGAGTTATGAAAAACTTAAAGTGGAAGAGAAAAAGACTTGGCAAATTGTATTTCCTGAGTCTTATGTCATAGAACATTTCTAATGCTAAGTCAGGAGTTTTCTTCCTTCTATTTCCAAGACATGAAAACTCCACGTTGCAAATATCCCTGTGTGAGCTTAGGGACCACTGGGTCATCTCTACTCTCTGGCATCCGATGTGCATGCCGTCTACTCAATCCGGTTCCCTCCATAAACATCACGTGTTATGAGACGAAACTCAGCCCAGGCAACACAGCTTGCCAATGCGGGGGCGGGGGCGTGCAGCGCCATCAGCCGGGCTGCCGGTCGAAGCCCTCATCTGCACGTGGAGTGCACATGCAGAGAGCCGAACACAGAGGTACACGGACAAACGCAGGGATACACTGGCAGAAACAGCGGAGAAGACACAGGGCAACTCCAGCTTGGCTCAGAAGAGAAGCCCTCCAGAGTCCCTTGAGATCGCAAGACGGGAGGCGCCACAGCTAGTGCGAGATACACATCCACGGCCATGCTTTTGATTCGAGAAAGACGGAGATGTGTGCCCAGGATGGAACGTGCCCGGCGATTAGAGAACTCGACAGAAACGTGGTTAGTGGGAGCAACACACCCCACCCCCACGCCCCCTTCGCGAGAACCAGGAAAACCAGTCGGTTACAGAGAGCAGAGTCAGTGGCGAGAAAAGACGAAAAAGGCGGCCAGGCTGGAGGGAGGTCCACTTACTGACGCTGCCACACACGGCCATGCAGTACTCCTCCGTGTCAAAGTTGTTTCGGTTGCCGCCACATCCGCCGTAAAAGAAGGGGGCGCACTTCCCTTCAGTCACATCAAAGTACCAGCGGGAGATCATTGCTCGGCATGGCCCCGTCTCGGCTTGTTCAGAGCACACCTCTAATCAGAGGAGATGTGGGGAACCACATTTAGCAAGAAAAGGTATGGCTCGCCGTTCGCGCGCACGCGTTTACTTTGCTTACGCGTTAGTCCTCCCGGGGTTCCCAAATGCAACCCGGGGCATCTGCCCAACATTTCCCGAGGAATTGACTAACGACCTACAAGACTTTCAGTTAAGTTCAGTCCAGTCGCTCAGTCGGGTCCGACTCTTTGCGACCCCATGAATCGCAGCACGCCAGGCCTCCCTGTCCATCACCAACTCCTGGAGTTTACTCAAACTCATGTCCATGGAGTCGGTGATGTCATCCAACCATCTCATCCTCTGTCGTCCCCTTCTCCTCCTGCCCCCAGTCCCTCCCAGCATCAGGGTCTTTTCCAATGAGTCAACTCTTCGTATGAGGTGGCCAAAGTATTGGAGTTTCAGCTTCAGCATCAGTCCTTCCAATGAACACCCAGGACTGATCTCCTTTAGGAAGGACTGGTTGGATCTCCTTGCAGTCCAAGGGACTCTCAAGAGTCTTCTCCAACATCAGGACTTTAGGGAATGGCAAACCCACTCTAGTATTCTTGCCTGGAAAATTCCATGGACAGCGAAGCCTGGTGTAGGCTACAGTCCGTAGGGTCTGCAAAGAGTTGGATACAACTGACCAACTTGACTTTTCACTTTCACCAGGACTTCAGAATTACTTTGGAAACAAAGCATCGCAGGCTCCTTGGGTTTAATCTGTGTAGCTCCTCAGTATTAACAAAAAAGACTCCAGCCAGAGGTGAACAGAACTTTAGGCTGCCTTTGGATGACTAGTCAGTGCCTGGACAGCATATTAAAAAGCAGAGACATTACTTTGCCAACCAAGGTCTGTCTAGTCAAGGCTATGGTTTTTCCAGTAGTCATGTATCGATGTGAGAGTTGGATTGTGAAGAAAGCTGAGCGCTGAAAAATTGATGCTTTTGAACTGTGGTGTTGGAGAAGACTCCTGAGAGTCCCTTAGACTGCAAGGAGATCCAACCAGTCCATCCTCAAGGAGATCAGTCTAGTACTTTGGCCACCTGATGCGAAGAGTTGACTTATTGGAAAAGACCCTGATGCTGGGACGGATTGGGGGCAGGAGGAGAAGCGGACGGCAGAAGTTGAGACTGCTGGATGGCATCACTGACTCGATGGACATGAGTTTGAGTAAACTCCGGGAGTTGGTGATGGACAGGGAGGCCTGGTGTGCTGCGATTCATGGGGTCGCAAAGAGTCAGACACAACTGAGTGACTGAACTGAACTGAAACACTGTCTGCATGTCAAAACAATTCTTCATGACTTCTCTTTGAAAATAACTTTAACTTTAAAGGTGAAAGGATTGTTGTATCTGGTAATGATGGCAAAAAGTTTAACCTCGTGCAAACACCTGATTGTTTTTCTTGAATAACTGACTGCCTTGACTCTTGTAATTCAAATTACACATATTTTGAATGTGGTCTAGTTTTCAGAGAGAGAGAAAGCCAGCCTGTTCACTGACTATATTTGAAAACATATATAAAAGCTGTGAATGTGACTTAGAGTTGATTATGTTAAGTCTAATTAAAGATGAATTTGTACCTTCAGAAAAATGTGTCCATACAATAAAATATAGGCAAACCACAATTTGTTAATACAAACCCAACACTGTTTTTTATGTTATACAGCTTACCTGCTAACAAGACTTGTCACCCTCCCCTGAATCAGGTTCATAATCCCTGGTTGACTGAAACTGTAGCAACCTGTCCGATTCTATTTGTAAAGTTACTGCAATTAGAATTTGAACTCTACCTCCTTTTTTGATAGAAATAAAAACAATTTTCCAACCCAGTTTGTGCCCCACCTAGCTAGGCTTATGGAGAGCTTGCTGACACCTTAGCACACTCAGATATCTTCTTATCTTAGTTTTATTAACATGTCAGGGGGAAGCACCCTTCTTCTAAAAGATAAAAGCCATGCAAACAGTAAAGAATCTGCCTGCAATGCAGGAGACCCAGGTTCAAGCCCTGTGTCGGGAAGATGCCTTGGAGAAAAGCATGGGAACCCACTCCAGTATTCTTGCCCGGAGAATTCCATAGACAGAGGAGCCTGGGGGGCTACAGTCCATGGGATCACAAAGAGTCAGACACAGCTGAGCAACTAACACTTTCACACTTTCATGCATAATGCAGAGATGCTTATTAACATCACTGATAGCTCAGTCAGTAAAGAATCTGCCTGCAATGCTGGAGAGCCTGGTTCGATTCCTGGGTCAGGAAGATGTGCTGAGAAGGGATAGGCTACCCACTCCAGTACTCTGGGGCTTCCCTGGCGGCTCAGCTGGTAAAGAATCCGCCTGCAATGTGGGAGACCTGGGTTCAATTCCTGGGTTGGGAAAATCTCCTGGAGAAGGGAAAAGCTATCCATTCCAGGATTCTGGCCTGGAGAATTCCATAGGGACTATAGTCCATGGGGTCACAAAGAGTAGGACACGACTAAGCAACTTTCATTTTTGCATTATTCAACAAACTGATCCTCATCAATTACTCAAAGATCTACCATGTTGACCTAAAAGGAATTCCTGCTTTACTTCTCTATACACAAAACTCATTGCTCCTTCCGGTCAAGGGAAACGGGTGGCAGCAAGATGGGAAGCTGCTGCTATCCTGATGCTGTCAGCAGACCAGGCCCGGGAGCAGCACTGGCCCAGGAGGCAAGCGTCAGGATCTCTGCAGGCTCTGGGTGACAGGTATCTGAGGTGATTCTGGCTCTCTCTGGATGGTTTTAGGATGGAAACATCGGACTCCAGGAGTATCAAGTTCAGGGTCACCTATCAGTCAGGTCATTTCTTTGGTACAGTTCCTTTCACACTCCACGCTTGCCAAGCCATGAGGTGTTTTAGTTAGCTCTCTGCTATATGATAAAAACCTGCCAACCTGTTGACACAAGTATCCCATCCACTTGGCAATTTGGTTTCTCCCCCAGTTATGGAACTATCATTCTAGCTTACAAAGGGTTAAGTTAGTTTTGCTGGAGGTGGGGTCTGATCACCTCTGAGTTACTGACAAAGGAGAATCTGGGTTGCAGAGCTAGAAGCCACATGTCGCTCACATGTGGGATCCCTGCAAACCACAGCCACCCGCTGGCTCCACTCCTGGATGTTAATTCTCTCTCTCAATTGTAAGACGTGAGATTGGCTTTTCCCTCCTTTCTTTCTGGCAGTGACTAGAACATCGCCTTCCTAGAGCGGCAGAGCTGATTTCAGAGGGGACTCGAGTGGAATGGATCACTTTTTATGTCTCACTCATCTACTTCTACTGCACTGTAGGGCACACAAGTGATGACCTCTCTGACCTTAGCTCTAACCCTCCTCTTTACAAAATGATTGTCCATGTAAATGATAAGAGAACCTTTGCTTAGTCTGGGAGAGAGTGAGGGGTAGGCATGGGCTCTGCCCTGGGGAATTATTATGTAATGCTTTTACGCAGGGTATTAATAAGTATAAAGGAGATGGCCAATCACTTTCCCAGGAGACTGATTGGAAGGAGCAACACATTTGGATTGAAGAAATGTTAAGTGATCAATATCAAGTTCACAGTTGTGACACTGCTAAACGGGGAAAACTGGGTGAAGACTATTAATTACGTCTTCCTATTGACTCCTTTGCTGCATGTAAATCTATGATTACCTCCAAAACCTGTACACAGATAAAAAAAATCTCACACTAAGAAACATATAAGAGCAATGTTTGTAGCTCAGTCTGCCTTAGAATTCTAATCTTGTCTCTTTCCCTGAATCACTTACTGTTTCAGAATAAGTTCCCCGCAGGGCTACAAACTTCAGTTTTAGAAACTGTTCTTTAAATTCCTTTCTAGCAATGAGAAATTATCAGGAAACCTATCCAATTAAGATCCCAACAAAGTAAAACAATTTTAAAGAATTAAGTCTGAAACATATACTTTGAAATCTGCAAGGCTAGATTCACAGAAAAAGAAATCTTGAGACATTTTATTTTATTGTATTTTTCAAGAGACATTTTAAATGCTTATGTTTACATTATTATTTTTCTGAATATAAAACTTTCTAATCTATGGGAAATACTGAAAAAAATTTAGTGAAAAATGTGTTTCATATTTATGACTATAATCAGCTAGTGGAAAATTATTTATAAAATTCTCCACTAAATATAGAGCATGTAAAATCAGACCTTATGTAACGGTCACCTCAAACAGAATTCATCTGAAAATGAAAACCGCCGCTTCCTTTTCTCATCCTCATTCTCGTCTCAAAATCTAAGCTAAGAAATGAAAAAATACACATTTTTAAATTATTTGCTAAATTTATTTTTGAATTTCAAGTCACCTTTGTTTCTATTCTAAGTAAATTTTACATATAATAATAAAGGAGAAAACTTGCCCAGAATTGAAGCAGGAATAATTTTCAAAGAGAATGTTTCAAGTTAGGTAGAAACACAAGAAAGACAAATATTTAAGGAACTAGAATCTCTGTTTATTCATATTTAATTCTTAAAACTTTTAAGGCCATAAACAGGTTTCCTAGTATTCACCTAGTCTGAATTCTGCTGGCAGGGAAGGCTCATCTCTTTTTATAAAAGCTCTATTCACCCCTCCAGACAAATACCATTTTAATAAACTGAAATGCTAGTGTACATTTTTATATCATTTTATATTTTTTTGTAAGGTAGATCCTTGCTGAGATTTGTGCTGGTTTCAACACCAAATCCCATTACCTAAATATCAATACTATACAAATAGAGGCAAAGCTAGAGCTTCCTACATTATATAAAATGATTATGCAATTCACTGTTCAAAATATAATACTTAACCACAAATAATTAACTCTGAATAGATGTCAAATTGGAGCAAAATTTTTTGTGGACGACCAAACTTAGAAAGCTAATTTTACACTTAAAAAAAAGTTAACATGAAGACAGCTGTGAAAGTGGTAGCTAGAATGGAAAGAAAATTTTCAAGAGTACAATTATCATAATGCCTT